ACTATTCTCCCTGGTTGAGTTACCAGAGAAACTGAGTTTGTTTTACTCATATTTCATTTTTGTAATTATTTGATGTTCCTTTATATAATACATAGCACCACACATGGTTGGACTGTATTTTTTAAAATAAATGAATGTGTAAAGAATTGTTTCTCTTTTGTTTGGGGCGGGGGGTGACACGCCAGCAAAGTCAAGTTAGGCATTTTCTGAATTTTTGACACACTGAGCCCAAAAGCTTCACCATCACTGTTTTATACCGAGCCAAATCAAGGCAGGATTATGTTGAATTTCTTTCTCATGCCTTGAGATTTTGAGCAATCTTTTCTGAACCTTCTCCTCCCTTAACGGTTTGTTCATCTATTCCCAGGTCCAGGTTTACATTTCATCACACCTAGGGAGTTTCTGTGGCTGGGGGTGGTGGTAGTGGTGGTTCAGCCTTTTGAGGTAGACTAGATCAGGAAACAGACTCCACAAGTGCAGCTAAAACTGTACTTTATGGATGTAGGTGACAGTAACAGAATCTTGAAAGCCTGACGGAGTTTTCCCTTTCCTCCTCCTTATGTCTAGTGAATTAGGGAAGAGTGAGTCTTATCCTCTTCCTCATGTTTTCTGTGTGTCCTGGGCTTAAAGCATGCTTTTGTTTTTTCAACTGTCACATTGCTTCTCCAAGGTTATCTCCTTGGCTTTCTACCAGGGGGAACAGAACCCAGATCTCCCCACTCCTGGTCCAATGTCTTCACCACTACAGCATATTGGCTTGTGGGCTTGAGAGAGGGACTGGCCCAAAGTCACCCAGGGGGCTCCCATAATAGAGTGTGGGATTAAACCTGGATCTCCCCACTCCTAGTCCTGCAAATTCATTACTACACCACACTGAAAGTCCACCCCCTGCTCCAATTTTCTTGAAGAGCAACCACTGTCTCCAAGTCTGGTTAGCGACATAGTCATGTACATTGTAATATATTCCTCGCTCCCTTCTCATGAGAAGATTAGGGGTAGTTTCTGGTAGTCCCTGGATAAATTTGCAGAGATGTTGGCATTAGGTCTTTTCGCTTGCCTTGTATACTTGTCCTTGGTGAAGGCAGGATAGACAGTCGCGCTCTCCCTTTCTTGAACAGCAGACCAAATCTTGTGCATTTAAGAAATAAATGCTTCCAGATGGTACAAAATTGGCAAAGCGGGGCTGTTTTCTTGCTTTCTGAGTAAGAAGAGGAAAAGGACTTTTTAATCCTTTTTTGTGTCTTTAATGTCTTTTTTGTGTACCCAATTTTATATTCTTTCAGGCTGTGTTGACACCAGCAACCCGCTTACGTTGTGGATATTTAGCAATACTGCAGCCCATCTAACCTGACTGATATTTGGTCTGTTCTGTATTCTCTTTGTGGTCAGCACATGTAGTTGAACGTATAGAGATAATGTTTGAGGACCATCCAGGAAACTCTACTGGATTCTCCAATCCCTGGCTTATTTTAGTTGTTCTTTTTAACTACATGCATAGGAGTATAAGGTAGAGTTAGATGTCATCTGTAAATATGTGCAAATAGAGCTTTTAAGTGGGGAGATAGAGGCCTTCCTCATGAGTAAGTTACATGTAGCTTACTCTTGATGATGGCCTCTGCTTCCCCACTTCATGTCCCTATTTACAGAACGCATTTCAGCCATTAGCCCAGTCAGATCTTCTCAGTGGTTTGGGGAGCACATCATCCCACTAATGAGATCAAAATTTGCCATTTGGGGAATAAGGAATCCCCACTCATCTTCTCCAGGGAGGTACATCCCTACATGTCTACCCCCTTTCTCATCAGCCAACTTTTTCAACTGCACTTTCTGCGCAGCACTTTTTCATGGTTGTGGGAGAAGCAATTGACCAGATTTGGTGTTTTCACAAAGTGGCTAGTGGAATTAGTTAAACCCAGTGTTTTTCAACCTTGGCAAATTTAAGAAGTTTGGACTTCTGCTGGCTGGGGAATTCTGGGAGTTGAAGTCCATACATCTTAAAGCTGTCATGGACTTTTTTGGGGGGAAATCTAATCCGCTAAGTTTGATGGATAATTACCCCCGTTAGTGTTCCCACAACACCCCAATCTCTCATTAACCCAGTTCAATATACTGTAGGACTAGGGCCAAAAAGTGACAAGAATTAAATTCTTTAAGCTTGCAATTTGGAGCTTCTTAGATCTATTTCAAAAGACTCAGAATCATACTTAGAGGGCTAGGGTTTATGAGCATAAAGCTTTACCTGGATATGCGTACATAGATGAAGTGCGTCTTAAAATGAAAACTTATCTTTAGCTATCTGCTTAGTGAAGGAAACAAAAACACAGGCCAAACTCTGAGTGGCTTTATTACAGCTGTAATTAAATGACCTTGGAGGGATTTATAAAGGATGACTCAGTTACCCCACCCAGATTAGAAGATGGAAATAAATTCAAGGTTTATTGATATCAGTGTTGGAACAATATGGTAGTGGTAAAATATTGTTTCCAATCTTGTAAGTTTTTAACTTGTTTTCGGCTTTTTGGATGTCTGGCTTTTTAAGGGTAACAGCTGCTCCGTTATATATGTCAAATAAACCTGGACTAATTTTGGAGAGCAAGATATCTTTTAAAAGTTGACAATACGCCACGCAGATGCAATGAAAAAGAATAGCTGTCACGTTCCATGCAAAAATGCCCTTTTTGGAAGACATCATGTTAAGAAATGACTTGCTCTATTATTCAGACAATTAACTTTGTAATCAGGAAATACCAGACATGATTGGTGAATATGATTCACTATGATACACCCAGTTGCCCTAAGAGTCTAAGTGATAGGAAAGGGAACTAAATGAATAGATGCAATCTTTATTTTTCTATCTCTTTTACAACTTGTTTCTTAAATTGTAGCATTTAATTTGTCTGCACATATTTTTTTTGGGGGGGGGAGTTATTTGTAATTTTGTACTGTGATTTTAAGAAGTAAAAACCTTTAGTAGAGCAGGGGATAAATACTTGACTGATAATACTTTTTTATTTATTAAAATTCCTTTAATTGTTAAATAGTGAAAATTAAACCACACAGTAATTCACCCAATATTGTGAATGAGGTGCTATTAGTAAAACATTACAAGGATAACTTGATGTTCCCAATAAATTGCAATAGTTTGCAGTATCTTGATGTTCCAGATAGATCTGCCATTAAATTAGCTTCACTGGTTTGTCATGAATAAGTTAAATGCAACAGAGTACACTTACTTTGGAGTCAAAATACAGATTTGCTTTGCCTCCACTGGTCACTTTATTTATATAAAGGAAATTCTGTTGTTGTCTTCGACAAAAAGATCTAATTCCTGTCTTCTTCTTATTAAAGTGTTCCTATATAATGAATTTACTAGACATTTAACACCATCATTATTGGACTTTTCACATTAGCGGCAAAGTAACAAGTCACTTTAAATATTAATTCCAGCGTAATCGGATGTGGTGAATTAGTTGTGCACATTACATTGAATTACTGTAATTATAACTGATGGCAACTTCCTTGATTATATTTTCAGTTCATAGTATTGTAAATCAGTATAGCTAACTATGGTTGCCTGCAAAAAACAACTACATTTGCAATAGGCACTACAACTTCTATGAGTAGAAATACAATCAGCCAACTGTATGCTTTATAATGGATTCCAATCAACTAAAATGAACATAAAACTCATAAAAAAAAAAATGGCTTCAGAATTCCCTTCTCATGAATTCCACTGGATACCTACAAAAAATATCATCGCTACTTTATTTCAGATGACTTCAACGCCAAAAGATCTCTATATATTCTGATATATATTATTTGCAGGAAGTTATTTTCTGACCTATTCTCAATATATGTTTCAGTTTAGGTAATCCAAAAGACACCTTTGTTTTCCATTTATTTGATCAGTGCATTTGCTTCTTAGTATTTTATTCTTTTGTCTCTAATCTTGATCTTTGGTAGAGTTGTACGTGACCCAAAGTACTTACAGCATTGTTTTCCTTATTTATTTTCCATTTTTTCTTTATTAGACGGATCCCTTGGGATCAAAGTAATGGGACACAAATATTTTTAAGAAATGCGTAATGTAAGATAATCTGAACAAGTCTCCCAACCTTATTTTTTCTCAACAGTGTTTACTGGAAGCGGTGATGCGTGTGCTCGAGCTTTTAATACAAAGACTGGCATTCTGCAAAGAGTGTTTCGAGGTCATAAGTTGGTTATTAACTGCATCCAGGTGAGCTGCCAGCATTTCAAATTTTCTGATTTACTGAAGGCAAGCATTTTGCTCTGTGGGACATGAATGGGTTGATGCAACTTCTGTCCTAAATATTCGTAAGGTTGTTTCCTTCTAAATATTTGTAGACGATTGCCCTCCCATCAAAAATGGTTCAGAACGAAAAATTGTGTTTCCTTTCCCTTACAAGTGCAGATCTCAGGAGCCCTGGTTCAAGCTGGCTTGCTTAGCTACCTTTAAAAGAAACGTGAGACCTGTTAATGGGGGGTGGTACAAAATCACAGAGTTGAAAGAGGCTGTTTAGGTCTTTGGAATCCAACCCCTTCCTTATGTACAAAATAATAGTGTTGGAAGAGGCTAAATAAGTGTTTTGAATCCAACTCCCTCTTTGGAACAGGAATCTAACACAACTCAAAGATCTCCCTGTGTTCTGCTTGAAGACATCTGCTGAAAGGGAGACCACTGTCTCCATAGATAAGTTTCACTCTCAAATTTTTCTTATCTACAAGATTTCCTAATATTGAGCAAAAATCTGTCCTCCTGTACCTTAGATCAATTGCACCGTGCCTGTACTCTAGGATGATCAAAAATAGACTTTGACTTTCTTCTGTGTGAGATCTTTAAAGACTTGAAGGGTGTTATAATATTCCTTCTGAGTCATCTGCCCCTAAAACTAATCAATTCCCTCCATCCCTCCTTCCCAAAATTTAATGTCCCATCCCTGTGGCATCCTCATGGTCTTGTTGCAGCAACCAGTGAAACATTTGGTTGTGGGTCAAGAATAAGAAACTGGGAAGTCAGTCCATCTCTGTTTAGTTGCTTATTATAATTCCAATCCACAGGTCGAATGACTTTGCCATGAATCGCAACTACAGAGTTGAAAGTAAAAGTTTTACTCCAACTGGAATCATTGGCCGAGTTCCTTCATTATCATGGTAGTCCTTAGCATGGATGATTGAGGAGGTGCTAAAGCTATATTGCTGTTCCTATTGGAATAAGGAGTCATGGTAGATGGGCCAAGAGCCTCTGCACATGAGTGGGGATGTTTGTATACAATATCTGGGCTGCAGATGTCCAAATGACTACCAGATGGTAGCAAACAGATACAAAGAGGATTAGCTCTTTGCTACCATCTAGTGGTTGTCTGGATTTTTGCAACCCAGATACAGTAAGCCAAGCTGGCCAAAGAAGCTTGTCTTCAGCTCTGTATGAACAGAGTTCCTACTCCCCCACAAAACATGGTAGGCATCTGATCAGCCAGTCCTCCGTAAGCAAAAGAGGCATTTAAGCTCTGTTACTACACCGCAGTGTAGGATAAGATTGTATATCATGCATTTGGGAAGATATGCTGCAAGAATCAGCTTGTCTTTAAGGGAAAGTGTTTACAGGAGGCTGGTTGCAAAGGGGGAATAATTAAAAAATAGCACACCAAACCCTGATAATTCTTAGAACTTCAGTTTGTGAAAATGTAGAATTCTTTTTTATTCTGTGGCCATTACTTTTTCATTGAGTCCTGGAATTCTTGCCTTGAATTCAACCTTCAGCTAGATGTTCAGGGTGGCTGCAGAGTTTAATTTCATTCAGCTTGACCTCCAGAACACTCTTATCAGCGTTGGAACCCAAACCGAGTCTACACATTGGAATAAGGTTGAGGTAGTAACTTGTTTGGCTCTTTGCATTTAACACTGCAAGTGGGGAAAGTAATACTTCTAAATTCTTCCCCCGATTTTATTTTCTATTTTGTTAAACACCTCCTACACTTCAAAAAAAAAAAGTGCTAAGGGGATTCTAGCACACATAACTTTCTAATGTTAGTTTCTTCTTTTGCATGGAAATGGGTGTTGGATCGCTTTGGACTTGATCTGGCAATTTTCTTGAGTTATGTGCATAGATCCAGATTGGAACAACAAACATTTGTAACTGGCCCCCCTGCTCTGTAAATATGCCAAAGTGAAAAAACTCTGTCTTTGCTTCCGTCTCACGTTGTGACTGTCGATGCTAAGCCATCCGCTGCAGTCTAAGTATGGCCCTGTTGTTCCAGATTCACAATGAATTATTGTACACAGCTTCCCACGATGGCACGCTAAGGATCTGGGACATACGGCAGATCTGTAAACGGAACAAACGTCGTTCGAAGGAGCGGTCTATCCAGGGCAGGCATTTCCACAAGGGGAGCCTCCCTCGTCTTTTCAACAACAAAGTGGGCTGCGCCCTTCACCAGGAAAATGGAGGACAACGGGAAGCGGTGGAACTTGAGTGAGAGATGGAAGAGATGGATAGCTTCTGGGGACAGTGGAAGGCAGGCTAGGACAATTCATGATCTGCTGCCCAGCTGCAGGTTAGGCCTATCTGGAGCTCAACCTTACCAAACCTCATTTTGCTTTGTGCCTGGCTGGCACTGCCAAGCACCTGGCTGGGGGTAGTGTTTCACATGAAGAGTTAACAGGCTTGCGGTAAGACCCCCAGATACAGATAAAACTACTATCTTGGTGCCAATGGGGAACAAGCTATGACAAGGCTTGTTCACATTCTTGAATCAACTACATCTCCAGTGTTATGAGGGGAGACACTGTTGCTGGTTTGTTCAACCGTGATGCCACTTCTTGATTGGTTGATCGTAGGACAGTCCCCAGACATCGTTCACACTGTGTGGTCCAGGGGTCAGGAATCCCTGGGCACGCGCAGAATTCCATGCGCAGCAATCCATGCTGCTGGAAGGGGCAGAGAAAGTGATGTTTTGAGGAACAGGTGTACATGGTAATAGAACTTCTCCTCAAATCTGGGGGAGGGGGATGTCTAAAGGTGCATCCAGAAACACACAGGAAAAAAAATAGCTGCTTTACATGGGAATTGACATCTGTGCCATTTTTGTAAAATCGATTGACTCCAAGATTGGAGTCTAATTGAGCATGATTTATAGTTGAGAAAGCTATCCTCCCCTCTCACTTCAAAACAGTTCTGGAACATACTGAACGTGACGGAACATTAATCAACATAAATCTATTCTGTGCCAACAGGGCACTCCGTCAGCCCTCTACGTCAGTGTTTCTCAAACTTGGCAACTTTAAGATGTGTGGATTTCAACTCCCAGAATTCCCTAGCCATCATGGAGTTGAAGTCCACCCATCTTAAAGTTGCCGAGGTTGAGAAACACTGCTCTACCCATTCAACCATGAGTCCATTCTGTCCAATTATCAACAATAATTGAAAAACATCACAATCTGGTGTCATACTTAATTTTCCCTAATGCACATTTTTTTTCTACATAGCTTCCCCAAATGTATATATTATTTCTGCATAATTTTCGAACTATATAATTTATCTGCACAATCATCTCTGCTGAGAATTCCACAGAAGGCTGGAGGAACCTGAGGCAATTGTGCAGGACAACACTAGTGTGATTGCTGCTTAAATCTATATTTGCATTGCCCTGAAATTGTTTCGTGCCACCTTCAGATACTAGTCACGTAAAGCGCATAAATGTATTTCAAGTTCCTCAACATTATTGGCCAAATAGGGCATAAGTTCTTTGAGTTCTTACTGTAAATAAGCATCTTTCTCCATTTTGTGGTGCATCAGCAGAGCCTGCCCAATGAAAGTTGCTTTCAAGCTGGCAACTCTCAATCCAGGGTTTCTTAGCAAGGCAGGCTGGCCTTAATCTTTTCTCCCTCTGAATTGGCTTGAATACAGGAAGATGTCTTTAAAGCGTTCTGTGGGATTATTCCAAAGAATATTGTTTTGATACTTGAAACACCAAGAAAGAAGCAATTGCCACATGCTCTAAAAAACAACAGAAACTACAAACAACTCCACTCCTTTTTTTTTAAGCAGGCCTGAAACTAGAATTCAGTTTGGAAAACCTTTTCAACAGGCCATTGTTCCAAATGTGAAATAAGATCTTGAGATGTTCCTGAAAGCAAATCTACACCATTTTCTCGGTTGACTGCTTAGCACAGGTGCACATGTCTGGCACCAAAGCAGATAGTTTGAAGTCATGTTATCAAGGGAAATTGAAGCAACAGCTCTTTTTGTCATATAAATTAAGGACTTTTTGTAAAACCATAGCAGCTGTTCATTGACCTGTCCTTGTAGTCTTCCATTTTCTTTTTTTTTTCAGAGACTGGATACAGATGAACTTTCAGTCCTGATGTGGGCTCTTCTTCAGAGGGCGATGTGCTTGTGTGCTAGGGCTTCATATGGAGGTTACTACCATGCTGCCATTGCAGTGATGTTGCAAGATAGCAAAGAATTCTCCTAATGGTTAGGGATTGGACAACAAATCCAGGAGATGAGTAGATTTCAAGTCTAGAAAAGCAGTAGGAGATCAGGGAGAGAGTAGGGTTTGGTAGTTTTGGAAGATGGAAAGCTTAACGTGCTTCCCCCCTTTATCAAGCTTTTTAGAAGACAGAAACTCTAAACACAAAATTCCAACTCTTGAAAGGTAGAAGGTGGTGAATTTGTCTTTATGATGATCAGGTGGGAAGGATTTGATCTAGATCCTGTTTGGCTAGAAGATGAAAAGGGTGGGGGTGAGTTTTGGGAGAAGGAACATTTTAGCAAATTGCCACAGGACTGAGAGGGGAAATAAAACAAGCTCTTTCACAAACGGAAGGTGACATGGGTTGGATAATCAAGGAGATCCTTTCTTGAGATATAAATCCTTGCAGGAATGTGTTCCAGAATTCAAAATGAATGAATATGTATCTCTCTTGGCTTTGAGATAGAGAATGGAAGCAGAGGAACAATTCTGAAGAACAGTTTATTACTCAGAAGAGAGAAAGAGAAGAATAATCTAATGGGAGGTTTTGGAAGACCTCAGTTTCCTGGTTGATTGAGTTTCTGTATCTGGGAATGGAACTCATCCTAGTTCTCTCTTCCTGATATTTGTTTAGATAACCACTGAGCCATAAATACATAATAGTTATTGTGGATTTTGTTTTAGTTGAAACACATACTTTTAATCATTTGTGTACTTTGGGGGGTGGAGGGTTGTTACATAATGTAACCCAGCCACTGTCCATGGGGAAAAAAAAGAGTTTGGGAAATAAATATTGTTCTAAAGATAACATGGAGTTGTTGGTTTGGATTGATTTTTAGTCATAGTGGATGGGGAAGAAGAAGCTTCTTTGTGGCCCCAATTACAGTACTGGAACTGAAAAGAGGCAAAATAAAATGTTGCTAGTTGATAATCTTGTATCTGGAGCCAGCAAGATATCTTTTCAGAAGAACAGTTCAAGAAGATGGTGCTGGTCAGACAGGGATGGGAAAAGAGAAACCATATTCTCCCCCCCCCCTCCCAAATCTCATAGCTCGTTGACTAGGAGAATCCATCACCAGAAGACTGATAGATCAAATCTCAGTGACTGTCAATGAACAGCTGTCCAGCTTGCCTTCCAATTGCTATAATAATTCTCGCATTCCATATAGTTGCAGTCTATGTCAAGGGTGGAGACCTTGGGGTGGAACTCCAGGAAGTTGCTGTTCCGCAACGTTAGGAGGGTCCCCATTTCCCTCTTCCAAGCATGATAAACTGCAAACCTTTGATAGGAATCAAGTTGTCTCTTGTTACATGTTTGACCTTCTCTGAGGACTTGGAAATTAATGGAACTTGCTTGCTAGCTGATGAAACTGAGACAGAATGCTTTCCAATAAGCTTGTCACAATAACTAGCATAACTGCCACTCAACTGTTCTATCATCCTTCCGTCAGAGGGCTGTTTAGACAGTGAGGAGGAAAGGTTTATGGGTTTCTAGCTGTTGGTAAACCACAAAAGATGTCAACATAGGACCCGCAGGTGCCAAAGCATTCCTGGTTCCTCAAGATGGCATCCAAGAATTTAAATAATTATCAAATTCTTGTGAGATTTCAGCATTCTTCGGCAAAATTGCCCAATTGCTAAAGGGTGAGATAGCCTCAAACTTGGGAAGATCTGAAAGATCTCTCAAGAATTTGGATAACTTGAAATAAGTCTTAACTGGGAAAGGGAAGTGCCCACTTCACTGTGTATAATTACCTTTTGATACCTGGTAAAGTACCAGCCACCATGGTTGAAAAGTGTGTCCTCCTGAGTAGATGACAGTTAGGGACTTCTGCTTTATAATCTTCTTAAGGGCATGTAATCTTGAAGGTACGGATAGTTGTTAGATGGCAAATTTCCACTGCCACTGATCTTATTTGTTCTCTTTATTCCTGAGCCTAGTTCTGACTTAAAAGAGTCTCAGTTCAGCCGGAAGCTTTCGGTTTGCTTTGGGACCTTACAATGAAGATGAAGACGATGGTCAACACAGGGAAGTGGATGTAAGCAAACCAAAAGTGACTATGGGATTGGTTGGTTCACTTCCATTACACCAGTGAAAAGCAGAGCTGCAGTGGTGTCCAAGCAATTATTCTGCCCGCTTGTCTGAGGTGGATGAGTGCATCTTTCATGCGCTTTTCTGTTTCCAAACCAGTTGCATTATTCATGTTTCTGCCAAGTCCTTTTTCTTTGCAAATTACAAATACTTGAGCAAATTTTTCCTTGGAGCAGCAGCTTTTGGATGCTGTCAGCATACAGGTAAGAAATGCACGGCGTCTGTAGCCATTAGCTGTGATAGAACTCATAAACTGAGAACTCACCAAAATGGTAGTATGGAAAAACTGTCAGAAGACTGTGGCAACACACTGAACTGGGAGCAAAGGAAACAAGTCTCTGATTATATAGAATTACTATGAAAAGGTGAAAAGGACAGCACAAGAATTCCAACCAGTACCTTTGTCTTGATGTGAACCTACACACTCACACACACACACATTCAAACCACAACTTTTGTTGATGGGGGCGCAGCCTGGCTTGTGCAAATGTGTGGTGGCTTGCATCTAGGCCATGCTTATATGATGGTTACCATCTTCCTTATCAGTGTGAGAATTCACTCTCATCGAAAAGGGAGCACCAAATCAGTGTAATCGCTGCTGATGTTATGAGCTGGCCGGGGAGTTCTGGGGGTTGCAGTCCACATATCTGAAAGCTGCTGAGATGGAGAAACACTGGTGTACAGTATGTTTTTTTTTACATGCATCAGGATCCTTGCAAAATCTTCATAAAGTTAAAGCAGCAGCCTTTTCCCCGTATTACAGAGGAGAGATTGAAGTTGAAAGATGAAGAATTTGCCAGCTTGTCAAGGTTGACTCAGAAACACCATCTTTTTTTTTTTTTTAAACTCTCCTGGATCATCACCAGATATATGGAATAATTTTGATATGAATATCAGTGATACATGCCTGACCCCCAAATACTTCCCACTCCCTAGAAAATATTGTCAGTTGTGTGCACACCGGAAACCAATGTGTAAAGCGGCTTCTGGATGCATTGTGCAAATACTGTCTTTCCCTCCTAATAAAAGTAAGTCCAAATAACTGAGAAACTCCAGGTTTACAAATGCAAGCTGATAGCTGTCTGGACCTCTAGTTAACCCCCCCAAATGAACTAGAGTGGGTGCATAGTAAATGTCTCACCTAGATCCACCCTAATTCAGCCACGCATTTTAGAAGCGCATTGCAGCATCTGTCCACCAGAGGCCGTCCTTTGCTGGCTCTCCTGCCTGCGTGTAGGCAGTACAGTCCTGACAGCCCTTCTTCACATAAGGCTGCGCTCTTCTGCTTGTCCTCCACCTTTCCTAGACCTTCCTGTTCAAAATCTGGATACCCCCATAGAAATCTAGAGATCTGTTT